CGGCTAGCGCAGATAGACCTCGTGTAGCTTTGCGCGAAATTCAAAACAAACAAACAAGAACGTTAGAACAATATATTTAATTAGCTTTACTAATTATGGGGCTGAAGTTTTTGTTTTCATCTAAGTAGGTAGCTTCCTTTGATTCGAAGTTAATATTAATTAATCAGCAAAATTACACTGGTGGAAAAATTTATTACATCACCCCAATTGTTCACATTTTTCTTCGGAATCATCGTTTGTTTTAGGCCCAAGTGTATGTAGGTGAAAATGTGTTTCATAGATTATGCAATACAGTGTAATTATTATATCAGTAGCTTTATAGGCTGTTTGGGGATTGCAGTAGTAGTTTTTTGGCTATAAATAGAGGTTCTTGGTGAGAGTCAGTTTAGAAATATATCTGCTACAACGTGCGTGTGACGCTACCATAGCCAAAGGTTGCGAGTTAATTCCACGGGAAAATAGCAGCCGTTGTTTCTTTGAGCAAAGAGAGACTTTCGAAAAGGCAGATTTCTAAAAGAATCAAATTTAACTAGCTTACTGTGAGCCGCTGGGTTCAGAGATATACAGAGACTGGCTGTGTGGAGCGGCTGAAAGGAAAGAGTAGGAAGACTGGACTGAAGCAAGGTGGAGCAAAGTTATATTTTCAAACGAATCAAAGTTCATCCTGCATGGGTCTGAGGGAAAGCACTTTGTAGAACGTTGACGTGGATAAGAGTTTCCATCCAGCATGTTTGAATGGAACTGTGAAGCATCCACAGGGTCAGGTGATATGGGGATGGATCTATGGTCAGGGTGTAGGACGCCTGTATTTTGTGAAAGGAACTGTCGATGCTGACAAGTATATCGAGATCATCGAGTTCCAGTTAAAGGCAACAATTCAGGATCACTTTGGTGGAGCTGGCCAGTAGACATTTCATGGTGATTCTACTCCACGTAACAGGTCTAAAGAGGTTGGTGATATTCCTACACTCTATACAGTAGACGTGAAATAAAGAGGAAATTTTCACTTTATGTGTATTGAAAAGACATCACAGGTTTTATTTCATTGCTTCAGGTAAAGGACTATCTTCGAAGGGACAGGATCAAGATACTACACTAGCCAGGCAACAGCCCAGATCTTAACTCTATCGAAACCTTCTGGAAGGTAATGGGTAACAAAATGTAAGAGAAGAAACTGAGACACACCTTGAAAGTGCAGGAAGCCCTAATCTGTGTGTAGCATCATGAACTCAGTCCCTCATGAACTCTTTGCCACGGCGATGTCAAGCACTTATCAAGGCCATAGGGGACACAACCAAATATTAATACAAGGAACAGACTTTGTGACCACTTTTTGTCAATTATCTTTAAATCTATGTTTTCGTATTTGCCAAGTATTTGTTGATCATTTGCTGTAATACGTTTGTTACGGTTGGTTTCTTAATAAAGATCTGTATATGTGTTTGGATGGCTGAAATATGAATTAGCTTACACCACACAATGCCCATAACTGTTTTACACAAGTTCTGATAATTCCACAATGCGCAATTTCGTAAGAAAAAATTGTAGGAATCAAGAAAAGTATGAAACAAATTGGGTGATGCAATAATTTTTCCCACCACTGTATGTTTGATAATTGTTTTTCTTATTTGATTAGTACCGTGTAGCAGAGAACGAGCTCGAAAGCCGAACCTTGTGGTTATCGGTGTGGCATAGTGACAAGCTTGGGAGAAATGATTTTCTAGGAGAAGTTATGCTACCACTCACGAAAGAAGTATTGAACGATTCAAATCCAGGACCACAGTGGTATTCACTTGAAAACCGTGTAAGTTACAGGATTGTTTTTGAACCAACTGTTTTTTAGTAGAGACAAATTCACTGAATCTATCTGAATCGAAGTACTATAAGATGACTAAAACAAAGGACTCATTTAATTAACTGTCAACTTGTTCTTTGAGATAAATGTTTAGGTAAGAGTTCTAAAGAAGCTAAGCTTAAGTAGTTGGACGAGTTTCTGATCTGTGAAAGATCCTTCATTCGGTAAATTTAATATGCGACTCTGACTATGATGGAAGGCTCCAGTACTGGAAATGCTTCCGTTGATCGAGACCAGATATAAGAGACAGAATAATAGTAATTAGAACTGCATTTGGGCTTGAACTAATGCAAATACCCCTGATTATATATATATATAGTTAATGTGTGTAAAGTATCTACGAAACATTTGATAAAAAATTTATAAAACATCAAAAAATAATTTCACGTTCATACTGCTTCCTAGTATTTGTCAGGCCTGCTGGGCTTATCAAATCTTATTTGACTGGAGACGGCTTGAATGGGTAATGAAGAAAAACTTTAATATAACAGCAAATGTACAACGTTTCGACAAGGTTTTGTCATCATCAGGTACAAGTAATTCAAAACCATCCTAAACAACCCAACAAACACACACGAAAAACAATTAAACAAAACTTTATTACAAATGAAAAAAGATAATTTAATTACTGACGATCTTTATTTTCATCTACCTAAAACTGATTCAC